ACCACTATCATGTTAATGTGCTTCTCTTTTCTAAAACAAACAAACAAACAAACAAACAAACAAACAAACAAAGAAACAAACATGACTTTGGACTTAAAAAATGGGTTACTTTCTTTTCTGTACCTTTATTGTTTCTGTCTGTCTGTCTATCTGTCTGTCTGTCTGTCTGCCTGTCTGTCTGTCTGTCTGTCTGTCTGTCTGTCTGTCTGTCTGTCTGTCTGTCTGTCTGTCTGTCTGTCTGTCTGGCTTACTCTATCCTGCACTAAATAAATTACTGTTATTGAGTCTACATACTACTCCTTAAAAAAAAAACAACCCCAAACCAGAGAGGAATTTTTTACCCCAACCCTCAAACAACGTGAGAGTGAACTTTGAACCTTTCCCGTTGTCTTTCCAGGATTATGGATGAACACGAAAATGTTGACCTGATGTTGAACGGACCCGACCTATGTGATGTGGTGAGGATTTTACTACGTTTTACTTTAGACTCTTTGTCTTGTTTTCCTGTCTGGATGCATAGAGCTTGCTGTTGAGTGGGAATTTGTGCTATACAAATGCTATTTATCTATTATTATTATTATCTTACTACTAATGGAGCTAAGGCCAAATTTTGCGAACAGTATATTCTCAGAAACTACAATATGAAAAAGTATGAAACTTTGCCGGTACCCATAACTTGAAACATAGTGTTGCACTATTGTATTTTCATTAAGATCAAATGTGTAAGAAAAAATCCCATTTTAAGTTAAATTCAGTCCTTTTGTAGCGATCGCCATCATTTGCTTCGACATTGTATATTCACTGCGGAGGGCCGACTGCGCCGAAGGATATTTTATGTTCAGTTATACACACAGAATTCTACACTTGTTATTTATAATGCACCTCCACTTTGTAGAATTTTTGTCTGAACGAATTAACCCCCCCCCGAGTTCTCGTGGTCTACATGTGGGGTGGTGTGATCTGAGAAGAGCTGTTGGAGTGTTTGATCTCAGTCTCAATGGTTGGAGGAATAACTCATCATGTGTGTTGTGTGTGATTGTGATATCATCTTTGTATGAATATACATGTGATCGGAATGTAATTATTGTGTGACTGTTGTGTGATTGTAATGTAGTTGAGCAGCATGAGGGGCTCAGTTCTTATGACTAGTTCAGATGAAAATGTTCTGAGTACATAGAGCCACAAATGACTGTTATTGTTTTATCAATGTGTTTCTCTTTACTCTAACAACAAAGAGCCATAAATGAGTGTAGCAAAGAGCCATAAATGAGTGTAACAAAGAGCCATAAATGAGTGTAGCAAAGAGCCATAAATGAGTGTAACAAAGAGCCATAAATGAGTGTAACAAAGAGCCATAAATGAGTGTAACAAAGAGCCATAAATGAGTGTAACAA